TGCAGACTTTGGGAACAATGTTCAATTAGATCACAGTTAAGCACAGATTAAAAAAAATTATATAATTAGAATAATGTACACAATTTAAGCACTTTCTTGAGGACTTGGCTGAACTGGAACCTGCAGGTCACATGCAAAGTGCCCATCTTCCTTTTCATGCTAAATTTACATGACACCAACTCTTTCATTCAGTAAACCAGCATGTTAGTGCTTGGCCATTCAGCACTGTCAATCTTGAAGTAGATATAATCTTCACTGATCATGCAGTATTGCCATTATTTTGATACACCATGCTGTACCATCCTCCAGTGTTAACTGAAATCAGTATTAACAATGGGCAAGATTCAGGGGCTGATTGCATCAGATTTGGTCCTGGAGGGAGTCCTATAATGAGCTTTTAGACTAATGCAAAAATCCAAACTATTACTATGAAACAACAGCAAAACTGGTGCTGCAGTCTGAGAAGTTTCTGGAAGGAGCTAATGTATCTAATTTCCAGGATAGGATTTCATCATCATCAGTATAATCACCTTTCCTTTGAAGAAACAAGATGTTTTTCAGACAGTTATGATTAGATGGAACAGCTGTAAGCAAAGACTTTTTCTTAGCAATAAAACACGATACTTTGTTCAAACTGCACTGGAGACTGAAAAAACCTAGAGAAATCTTGGCCAAATGGCTTAACGATCTCTGGCACTGGCACAGATACCTTGAGCAAAATACAATCAATTGCTGTCTTCAAATTCCACTTCACACTACTATGTGAAAGACTTTTTTTTTTGCATTTCAAGACATCCTGGGTTTTTCTGTAGGAAGGTGTGATCCAAAAATATTTGACACACCTCCCTGTATTTTTGGTTTGTAAAGGAATCAAAAAGGCTACACCAATTATGAATAAATAATATTCAACCTAACATTTGTTATCCAACAATCTCTGGCTAATATCTGCTAACAAAAGTATGAGAGACTTACATTCAAGTACAAGGAAGTCACCAATATATAGATAAACATTTTGAAAACAAAGCATGATGTCTCAATAAATGGTCAAGCTGAAATTTTGATATGGCAAGGCAAATTCAGGAAGCAGGTTTAGTCTAAACGCATCGAACAATTTTGATTACTGTTGTTATTACTGTCAATCCATGCATAACTACTCAGATGACTTGGCCTGTCATTCTCCTATTTTGTGTATCATGCAAGGCAAAAAGAGAAGGTATTTTGAAGGGATAATTATGTCTGACCAAGCCTTTACTCAAATATCAATGAAACAGGCATTACCAGTATGATATATTCTTTCTTAACAAACATGGCAAGAACAACATCTGGATAAAAGCCAGAGCTGACATAAATCAAAAGTGCTGCAGCATGTATATAGTCATGACTTACACTTGCTGATCATCATGAAACAGATTTTCAAAGAGCATTTTGTTCAGCATGAAATAAAAAAAGAATGTGCTTTGCGCATGGACTAGAAACTTATGTTGCAAGAAAAAGCTGGTTTAACTGTTATCATTTTGTATTCAAATATGCCCAATTTTCCATTGATTTGAAGAGACCAAAGCAAAGCAGGCAAAGAAAAAGAAAGAAAAGGAATGAAAAAGTGAGTCTTGTAGTAAAAGATGAAGACACCGGAAGTAGGAAAATTCTAATTCTCTAAGTCCATGTTCATTGGCAGATACAGTGAAAATACTCCTTGAGAAATGCCTGTTTATATACATAATGAACAAGTAAAAACTCCTTGCAGAGCTCTCTTGCCCTCTTGTATGTAAATAATGTGTACCTTTTTCACCTTTCATATGGTGAAATGGCCATTAAGCTTTCAACCATGCTGAAATCCATCTTATTTATTGCTACATTTGGTATTATTCTTCACCTTGTAACTTGCGTATTTGCATAGTGATGTCATCACTGGATGGCCTTATGGACTGTTAACTTAAATTGATGCAAGCTTTTGAACTAAATGCACTGCTTCTACTTTATTGGATTTTCGTAACAATAGCAATAGCAGTATAAACAGATCTCCAAAAAAACCCAAACCAAAACAAATAAAAACAGTGAGTGACATGAGATTATTTTACTTGAGGAATAAGACCTTTCAGGAAATTAACATACACCATTTGACAATTGCTGTGTTGCTTATCAGACTGACATCTCAGAAGGACATCATAAAACCTCAAGAACTGAATCATTTAAGGTGCAATCAAAGCCTCTGACTCCAGACAGCAAAGGTAGTATCAGGCTGGTTTATAGAACAAAGGCTGCAATGTAAGCCCTCTAGAATGTAAACCTATTAATTCCAGTCTTTCCCACTATAGACATGCACTCTTCCTCTCCACAACAACTTACTGTGTATTTAAAGACTGTTATTGTGCCATCTGATGTTCCCCGAGAAGCTTTTTCGATGCTTAATACTTTATGGCATCAAGTGCCACATTTGAATTTGTTTTAATTTTTGGGCAACCATATATGCCAGTTTTCTTGGAGATTTCTGAGTATGCTGAAAGTATGAAGTTTAATATAGCAGACGTACACCCAGCTAGCATTCAAACTTTCATTTCTCTACTCTGTGTTTTCACTGCTTTTCATAGTAAAAATTTTCATAGTGAATTCTTTCTCATCATCCCATATTTCCTAGGCTACATATCTGACTGTGCAATGCTTAAGCTTCTTCTGAGGTGAAACAGACATGGTTTTCTCTCTTACCTTTTTCTCACAAAAATTATTAAACTATAATTCCTATGGGTGATAATTTAGTGCAGCCACCCACAGCTCTAAGGTCTATGACTATTCTGGTTTATTCTCAGTGGAACATTGTCCTGCTAGATTTCTCTGTTCTCATTTCTTGCTAGCTACTTTGGTTTTGTTTGTTTTGTCAACAGCATGAGCTGCTCACCCATTTTCCTTGTACCTCAGAGGGTTTTTCCTCTTACATAAACACATACACCGGTGTTTTCTGAGACTACTCTTTTTTCCATTTCTTGAGTTCTGCTGTCAGAGATAAACAATTTTGCTTCATTGCCTCAGGATAAACACTCTTATTTATCAATCTTTCCTATATTTAAACAGGTCTCTGAGAGTGACAGCGACTGCAGGGTAGGAGAGATAGAAGTGAAGCTTCCTTATGCCTGAAGCCAGGCTGGGGAGGCAGAGCTGTGACAATTCTTCATGTTTCCTCAGGAACAGAATCCCCAGTTGCACTGGTTGCTCTGCCTACAGTGTGCCAGATGAGGAAGTACACCTCCTTCATCCCACACATTATGTAAAAACAGGTGTTTTCAGCTTACTCAGACATTACAATTAGGACAGAATAGGATACCCTGTACAAGAAGGATAACAAAACCAGGGTGTGCTTGAACAGCAAACTTAAGACATCAGTGCAGCATGGATAGCCACTAGCTTTAGTCTAACAGGCACAGGCAGCAGTAGAATCAAAATGCAAAAGCACAAAACTAGCATGGGCTGGCAACGGCAAGCTGGCAAGGTGATCATGGGGGCTCCATTCAGATCCATACCTCTACAGCATCACTGCTATTCTCCCTGTGCCAGACAAGTAAAGGGTAACTTAAAACCCTGCCCCACAGTTCCAATCACTCCTCTGCTGTGGTGAAGAAATAGCTGCAAGGCTTTGCTTATTCATTAAGACATCCCTTTGGATTGTTCTGGATCAGCTGCTGCCCAGGCAACATTGCAGCAGGCAAATTCAATCACCTGGCACCATTAGGGCACTTGAACAAGATTCTCTATTAGGTCACCCCATTTTCCTAAGAACAGATAAAAGTTCAGCAAATTTTGCAGTTTGTTGCACATGTACTTTTTATACATCTAGCTCTGGTCTAAAAAGTAACAATATCCTAGACTCTCTTAAACTTGTAGGGTTCAATTTTTTAGTTTTTATTTGCTTAAATCTCACTAAATATAAACAGAGATGTGTACATGCCATGTACCTAACAAGCTGCTACTGTTAGGAGGATAAATTCATCTTCACGTTTATTTCAGTCAATTCTAAAACAACTGGAGCTTGCAACCATAGAAAAACTTTACCATTTCTGTTATTTCATAATGACAATATTTGTGGTCCTACTGTTTACAGCTAGGCTTTGTCAAGAGGAACTACCTTCAGAATCACAGAATTTTGCAGCCTTTGGCATATGCGTTTGCCAGCCTTGAAAATGTTATGAAGATGTCTGCACAACTCTTCTGATGTAGCATGTCTCCAGTCAGGTTTCATCTGTGAAATATAGAACAAAAAGGCAGGCTGTACATGAACAATCTCAGTTTACCAAAATGTACTCTGATCCGAAATGCAAGTAGAAAAACACACTTCTACTGTGTGTCCCACAGTGGAAATGGGGCACATGCTCCCAAAGAGTTAGAAACAAAGAATACTTGGTGCTGTGGCTGCATAAGTTACAAATACATCTTAGATGTCACTCAGGAGTGTTCAGTTGTAATGAAGACAGATTCCCAAACTACTGAATAGGTGGCATGTTTAGAGTAATTTCCTATCATACATGTGTATACTTGTGTGTTTCAACAATGGTTTGAGGAGGGTTTTTTTAGGGACACAAGAAAAAATCAGTTTCTACAATTTTTTGGAGGGCCTTGGCCTTGCTGAAGTACCATTTCTCAGCTGAAGCTTTTATTTCTGGGGATATTAGTCCAGTAGGAAGAATACTGAAACTCATAATGTTCATTTAAAATAAACCATGAAATCCTGAAGATAATCTTTTGTTACCAGTCCAGTAACAAAATTATTTGGATTATGGATTTTTTTGCAATTTTTATATATTTGCAGTTATGGATTGCAAACCCTAAATTTACTACTAGATTAAATCAATCTGTAATCCACTGCAAGTCTTTCTAAATGATTACAGCTAATATGCCATCAGTTACATCACATCAGTTTCTTGTATTGGGAAAGATATAATGATGTGCACTCTCCACATGTTATCTGTATTAATATCTGTCTTGTTTTTTTTTTTTGCCATTTTCTTTCCTAGATTTTTCTCTCTACCTGAGCAGCAGACACACTGAGAAACATGCCTGAGCAAAGCAATGATTACAGGGTTGTTGTGTTTGGAGCTGGAGGAGTGGGCAAAAGTTCTTTGGTCTTGAGGTTTGTGAAGGGCACTTTCAGAGAGAGCTACATCCCTACTATTGAAGACACCTACCGTCAGGTGATCAGCTGTGATAAGAGCATATGCACTTTACAGATCACTGACACTACAGGCAGCCATCAATTTCCAGCCATGCAACGTCTTTCTATTTCTAAAGGACATGCTTTCATTTTGGTTTACTCTATCACTAGCCGACAGTCCTTGGAGGAACTCAAACCAATCTATGAACAAATATGTCAGATTAAAGGAGACATAGAAAACATCCCAATAATGCTTGTGGGGAACAAAAATGATGAGAGTCAAAATCGAGAGGTGGACAGCAGCGAAGGAGAAGCCATGGCTAAGAAATGGAAATGTGCCTTCATGGAGACCTCTGCTAAGCTGAACCACAACGTGAAAGAGTTATTCCAAGAATTGCTAAACCTTGAGAAACGCAGAACTGTGAGTTTACAAATTGATGGCAAAAAAAGCAAGCAGCAGAAAAGGAAAGAGAAGCTGAAAGGCAAATGTGTGGTGATGTGAAATTGCACTGTCACAAGTTAATCACGCAATCTCACCTGTCTGACAATACTCACATAAAACGTACAGATAGCAAACAACCATGGAAGACCCTATTCATTAGTATCTGTTTTAAAAGAAATATTTTGAATTTCAAAAAAATTATTTACTGTAGTTACTATGAAAAAAAACAACAACTAAAATCATGTACTCCACCTTCTAGTGAAAACAATCAGCAATCAAGAGAAGGATGGGCCATGATATCTAATTTTGTGATTTACAAAAAAAAAAGAAATTCCATCCTTAGCATAACGCAAAAGTTTTGGAAAGTCAGCTTCATATTATTTTTGTTTCATATAAGTGCAAGAGATGGCAATGCATAATGTTGGAAGAAAAACAAAAAAATGGCCATAAAGAAACCTAGAAGTATGAAATGCATGCTGAATGGTGTTATGACATCCTTTTAGGAATGTTACAGACAATTCCGTGCAATTTTCATTACTGACTGTTGGGGCACTGTGCGTAAGGCAGTATGGGATCTGCCAAATTAAAAAACTATTTCACACTGAAAGGAAGTGTCAGGGTAACAGTTAAAAGGTATGGATATTCTCTCTACCCTCGAGCACGAGATTTCTTTCCTGTATGTTTCAGTGTTTGAACTGAAAGATGATGAAAATCCAGCCGCTGTAGGAGAGATGCAAATCATCTTTTCTGGACCCATTGGTTCGAGAATCACTTTTGCTTCTGGCCTCAATGTATTTCAGAAGAGCAGATGTTTTCCTGTGGAGAATGTCAGATTGTACAGAAATGGTGTACATAAACGCAAAGCTTCCCCAGAGAGGATTGGCTGGGAAGTCCCCTGCAAAAGCCTTTATGGGAAAGGCTCCATTCAAATGCTGCTGATGGTTAATAGTGAATGAAAGTCTATGGAACTGGTTGTACACTTGGAGAGGTGTCAATATAGTATATAAAATTATTATTTAAATTACCAAATAGCCGAGTGAAACGTCTTTACTATATTTCAATTAGAATGCTTTTTCATTCATGCACTACTAGATCTATTGCCTTTATATTGTCTGAAGGGGTATATATTAACCATTTAAACTCATGATTTGAACTGCTGTGACACAGAATCAAATCCTGCATCTGGAATTAGGGCCCACAAAGAGCCCTAGGAGAAGATTTCCTGGGGTAAGTAGTACAGGATTTGGCATATTAAGAGTTGCAGTCAGTACTGTGTTACAATGCAATACGCAGTTCAGAATAGAAAAAGCTGGTTTAAACCACCTTTTCAGAGGCAACTGCTCCTTTCAAAACCTTTGGAAGGGGAATAATAATATAAAATGTGAGCTTTTCTGGATCTCTCTCCAAAGCTTTTTAAAACTAAGATGAATGAGTAAAATATGTATTCTAATGATAACAAAGGCCATCTAACATAAAAGAAGCACATACAGTTTTTAAAAGACACATCTAAGTTGTATAAGCTACAGTTTGAACCTTAGGAACTTCTCTGAAATAATAAAACAAACCACCATATTTTGGTGAATGTTTATGTTGAAATCATATTATGGGAAAACTCAGTCAAGTACTAGTATTATTAGTATGCATGCTGTTGCATTATAAATATCTTCTAGGAGCTGTTCAAATGCAGTATTTGCATTAAAAATACTTACCTTGTTTCTCTTAGAGTTATTGCTTGCTTACCTTCAACATTTCAGTCAAGTGTGCAGTCATTTTGCAGGTACATTTCTTTGAGCAAGAATTGCTATTAGCATTGTCTAGAAAAGAGCACAACTTTTATCATTCACTCAGAAGAAATTTTAGCACCATTAAAATCAAGTGTAACACTACTGCTGATGTCAAAGAATACAGAATTTTGTGTGCTTATTTCATTGCATCAGAAAATTAGAGAAAGCATGAAAAAAACCCTAAGGCTTTTCCTTAATAGTAAATTTCTGGGTCTTATGTGATGCTTTTTCTCCATAAAAATCAAAGCACTTCACAAAAAAGGACAGCATCATTATCTTAACTCCTCAGGTGGTGAAACTGAGGCATGAAGAGAGTAAGCAAATACACACAGGTTACCCAGCAGGCTAGCTGTATAGCCAGGAACAAAAGCAGATTTCTTCAGTCCCAGTCCCAGTCCCCACTCTGCATTTGATCTGACTGCCACTTCACATTCTTGGCTAACTTCCAAACCATGTAAAGGAAACTGTTATGGCTTATACAGCGAAGTGCATCTTTTTCTTGTCAGTCTGTCAAAAGATCAAACAATATTTACAGATTGGGGATGCAAAACATTTAATACCACTACATTTTGTAAGTTTTTTATAAATATTTAAACATCTATTCTGTTTGTAAGCAGACAGCTGACAATGCTCATCTTCGCAGCAATGGTTTCCACTAATGAAACTGGAAAATCAAAAGAATGATCACACTTAAGGAGTAATGGGTCATATATAGAGGTCAGCAGTACAGAGGTCTCCTGCTGATGCTAATATGCCGGTGCCAAAGGTCATCATGCATGACACATGCTGAAGCAGCCAGCATGGAATAATGACATAAACTGAAAGAAAAAAAAAAAAGGCCATATAAAGACAAGGATCCTTTTAACATTATTGGTCATTTTAACTGAAGGAATTTTTTACGTAGTAAAGAATCTTGCAGAAATAGAATATAGGGGATCTAATTACTCATAAGCTATAACTGCAAGATATTTCAGGCTGAAATTTGGCCCTGGACTTTCTTTGAATGTGCCTCATAGCAAGTGAGTAGTAAGTTTATGGCAAAGGTGGAAATCAAACAAGTAGCTGCCAATGTCAGGCTTGAGGACCATTTCCTTTAATTCCCAGTTGATTCCTCACCTGCTACAAAATAAGCCATGAATTATTTCATGGACTTGCATGTATCAAAGCAAGGCCAATACAGAAGCAATATTACTTGTGGACCACAGATTCGAAAGAGAACGTACTTTATACCCTTGCATTGTTGTCCTAGTTTATACTACTAGATTTTACATATCTTAGATACTTGTGCGCTGGTTTAAAGCATTTGTTTTGCTATTAATTATACAATTATTTTTTTTTAACACAGAAAAAACATTTTAAGTTAAATAAAGAAAATATGCAGCTTTATTACGTTTTGTGTTTGGGAATGTGATATGAGTATAACAAACTCTTTAAAATATACAGGAAAAACATTGCATATTTAAGCCATGTAAGATGTACAGTGAATTTTGGCAATCAGAAAACATGATCTAGACAAAATGACTCTTTACAATGCATGTCTTTTCTATGTATATATGAAATATTAAGATATATAGTTACCATGAAAATGTGTTGTAGTGATTTCATTAGCAAATATTTTATTCAAAACCTCTGGATATGAAGTAATTTGTGCCTACAAGTTTCTGTGTTTCTGGTGATCTGAACATACAAAATAAAGTTTTAAATGGAAACAAGAGTTTGGAAGAATCCTTGTTGATGCCTGCATTGTGTTTATTACATAAGTACATGAAGTATGTAGCTTTAAAAAATTTCATGCAGTAAAAGTTGCAAATGCAATTCTATAAATAAATAAATAGCTACTTACACGTTAGGTAGTGTCCTAAAGTCTTCAGCTGTACAGATCAGATTCCTGAAAAGTCCTGAGAGAACTGGAGCAGTATCATCTTATCTAACATATACCTTTCTTTTATTATACTGTGGCAAACACCTACACTTCCAAAGCAATGCGCCTTCATAAAACACAGATTATCCATGGGTGTATCTTTTGGTTATCAAAAAGCAAAATAGTTCTGCAAACTAGTTTGTATTTTATTATTTATTTTAAAATAACAAAGATGAAACTCAATGCTTGTGCAAAATTGAAACTTATTATATGGATCCTTCTATTCCTCCTCATTTCTATAAAATTCCTGACATTTTTGCAAACTACTAAACTACTGCATATTATGTTACCACCTGTTGAAAAAAAAGGGTCAAATATAATACTTTGACCCTTCTTGCAAGTCACAAGATGTAGCACTTGTTCAGTTCAATAATCATTTCTGTATGTAAGGGAGGGATCAACAAACAAGCTTGAACACTCAGGCACATTGATAGGCATTTGAACCAGTGATGAAACATTGATTATTAAATGCAGTTTTCGTATCACTCCGAAACAATTCGACATGGTAGTCCACAGAGCTTTTTATTCTGAGTAAAAGACACCCTAGAACTCCTAATAAATATTATAATTCATTTTCTTATTCTAATACACCGTCATTTACTATGCTTGCCCCTGATTCTGACACAGCCTACTATGGAAAAGTGAATGTGTCCAGTCAGTGTCCTAGTGTTTGTACAATATACTGAGTGACTGTTTTTCAGATGTTTGCCCTACAGTATTCCACAGAAGCACCACAAAATTTGCCTCCCTCTGATTTTTTTGTCATTTGTTACTACTCCCATATCCCATGGGAAATATTTTCATTGTTACCACATACCCTCATTAAATTGTGAATATATATTTGTCATATTTAGTTCACTGACATTTTAACTGGCATGTCCCACACACCTTTTTGGTAGGTTTTCTAATTAATTCACAGGTGTGTTTCATGCAGCAAATGGTGTCTAAAGTCCAGCTCTACTAAAACTGCAAATAGAGGAGAGAAGAGCTTAAGCACCTTTGAAAGTACATACCTGGATGCTCCTTATGAAGGATGCGGACTGGTCTAAACCAGATAGATATGGTATTTAGAGAAAGTATTAAGCCTCTTCTGCTTCCTACAGTTTACCTTGGTCGAGCACCACTTTACATAATGAGTCAGAATGGACCTATTGAAAATCATAATGGAACTGAAGTGGAAAAGAACATTTGTTGTTCAGTCAGATGTATTTATTCCTCATTCAGATGCCAAGAAAAGGCACAATGGATCCTACAAGTACATCTCTATCTTGATGTTCTGAAAGCTGTGGATGACATCACCTGTCACATGAAATAAATACAAATACAAACTGTATTTGTATTCATTTCAGTAAAAATAGCAGGAAGAAGTGGTTTTCCATAAGGGCTATATGGCAAATATTTTTTTCCATATATAAGAGGAGAAGGATCATTTTACATTAGCTTTCAGAGAGAAATGGGGAGAGCGTGGAGGTGCCAGTCTCTTGGCATATACCTGCTTTACAGCAACTTTTGCTCAGTTCTGTTGTAAGGATCCTTTTCATGTGTTCCCTTCCACATCTGGTTCAGCTTCTGCTGCTGCTCAACTTGGTCCTTAAAAACAGACTGTTGACCTATTTATTAATTTATTCAAGATTAGGCACTCTCAAAATTCACAACATAATGGCACTGTATGCTTAGGCATATTAATTTAATTCCAGATTTTACCTGTGGGCCACCTGTCACCTGTCACAGTTGGATCATTATAATAAAGAGGTAGGAGAAATATAATTTGGTGGGTAGAGTGGGAAATGGCAAAGCCAAAAGTTTTTACATGAATTTACTATTGCTCAGGGACTTCTGAGACCAAGGAGGGCTCCTAAATGTGTTTTAAAAACAAAAATCAATATTCTGTAGTCACACTGAGGTGCACTAATGAACACTGCTGTTAGGGACATCATAACAGTAGGTTACACAGGAGAGAAATTTCTCAGGGATCAGCAGGGAAAAGGGCAAGTGCAGTCCTCTTTCCCACCATGTAGGAAGGAGCAGATATATTTGTCAATGAGAGGAGATGACCTCTGCAACCATGACCAACCTGCATTATGAACACCATGTCCTGTCCTTCTACAAACCTCACACCTGTCATGGCTAGTTTTCCACAGTGAATTTAAAAAATGACTGGAACAATAAAGTCTAAAACAGGAACAAGGGAGAGCAAGGTAGTTTTATACAAACACATCTCCAAGTGTCCAAACAATAATCTCTTTATATAGACTCTGTGAAGAGCACGCTCACATACCAATGAATGGTAAAGGACTGTATCAGAATAAAGAGGCCAGATTATGCACAGTCTAGGGATGCTGAATATAATGGAAGGTGAATACGTTTAATTTCAATGGTAATGTTTAGGAAGGATGAAGTAGAAGAAGAAAAAAATCAACTGAATATACTCAGAATTATCCTAACAATACAATCCATTAGGTCATAGAACAATCACACAGAGAATGTAGCACTTGATTTGAACATTGCAAAGCCAGGATAGGGTCAAAAAAAGAATCTAAAATTCTGTCCTCCCTTTTGCTGCCCAAACCATATTTATCTGTCCTTGCTCTCCTCTTTCTTTCCAAACTCAAACCTGATTTTAAGGGTAGCCTCATTCAGCAAGTTTGATCAACACCTAATCTCCCACCTAAGCATTTGCTTACCAAGTGTCCAATGCTATATGACATTTTACAAAAGCCACAAGTAATCTCAGTATGGTAGAGAACCTTTCAAATTACTTAATTACTTACAAACAGTTCAAAATAATTTGACAATTCCAGTAATTAGGGGGATACAGTAACTCATTCCCATGCAAAATATAATAATAAAAAAGACAACAATAATAATAATAATAATAATAATAATAATAATAATAATAATAATTTCAGTTATGTAACAGCATACAAAGTATGCCCAGATTGCAGAACTGGAAAATACCATCAAAGACAGATGGATGCAAACATAAAATTTTATTACTGGGATGGGGGTAAAAGAAGCAGCAACACCTCTGGCTGCTTTCCCTGCTTCTCCCCTTCCTGGGAAGAGCAACCAGCCAGACCACCTTCGCTGCAGACGAAATATTCCCTTGTCTGCTGGAGATTGTTTATAGAGCATAGAAAGAAGCAAGGCCACCACTTGGGCAGAGAGATAAGTATATATATATGGTACATTAGCTCACGGATATAAATGAGATTTGTGAGTTGATTAAAGAAGAATGTGCCTCGAAAGTAGTAACTTTAAGCTTTATTGTCATAGAATCATATGATTTATTGTGTGGCCTCTATTGGCTGTGTTTTTAGTTACAGCTCTGTATCTCTATAAATTATTATAGTCTAAACATTACTGGGTGACTTAAGTTACACAGCACCACTTTAAACTTCTTCTGGAAGATAGATAATTTAGCATAAAAAATTAACATTGCATTGCAGTCAAGCATATTATTCTGTACTATACAGATGTAGTAAATAATGTATTTTTAAATGTAAGGTAGTAGTTATAACAGTATTCTGTTTATTGTGATTTCTTCAGTCTGTCAGTTATGTTTCTGTGAGAGACTGATCTGAAATCAGACTCCACTGTCTATTGTCTCAAAGACTGGTATGAGAAGCTGAGATGGGTTTCCACCATGACTGAAGGATGAGTGGGAAAGAAGACCCTTCCATCCATTGCCTTGAGAATTGTTGCGAAGAATTGAAATGGGACTCCACCGACCATTGCCTCAGAGATGGGTGGGAGGAGTTAAGACACTTCCATCCATTGCCTGGGAGAAGGGAGTGAGGAGCTGAATTGGAACTCCACCATCTATTGCCTAAGGGATGAATGGGGAAAAGCTGAGGTAAGACTCCTGTCCATTACTTCAAGGATTGGTGTGAGGAATTGCTGTCCATTATCCCAAGAATTGCTGTAGACACCTGCAGTTAAAGAGCTGGCTGCAAGACCAGGGAAACGTCACCAGGAACAGGAATACATGACATGAAGAACATAGGTACTCCCCCCAGTTCATTATAAAAGGGGAATTAAGACATCACCAAAATGGGTGCCTTCAAGGTGACACCAGGATGCCTCCATGAGGACACCCACCTCCGATGGACTCTTGGGGGACACTCTGCTCTGATACTAACTATGAACCCTGAAGAACTCCCACCATCAATGACAACAACGGATCCCCGGGGCACTGCTGGGTCCATGGTGGTGACTCTCTCTCTTTCTCTGCGCCCAAATTCTTTCTTCATTTTCTACTGTTTTTCCAATCTGTCCTATTGCTACCCCCTTTACTGCAATAATTTCCCTCTTTTATAATAACTGTCTTTTTGTAATCTGTAATGAAAATACTATCAATTATGGTACTTGACCTTGTTTGCATCTTAATTTCACTCTTGGGATCACTAACTGAAACAGGGTCTGGCCCTGGGATTTTCTCCAGTCGGACCCTGACAGTTTCCTCAGGAATTAGTGCTCTTCTACTGGGTCTTTTAGTTTGAGCTAGTTTAGGAAAAAAACTTTCACATTAGGACCGTTTTCAGCAAGACATTTTTAAAGTGCATTCAGTGGCAATTAGAGTTTGGAATTCAACAGAAGAATTTAACAGTCATTTGTAGAGGCAGTATTAGTCATCCCATTTCCCACACGAATATGTTTTATGGTTTGAAATGTCACTAAAATGGCTATTTTAGAACACAAACCAGAAGCTTGAATAGAAACAGCTTTACCTTCTTTCATTTTAACATTCAAATACATGGAAGTATGTACATTTCCAATTTTTCTGAATG